CCCCAAAACCCCAAAACCCCAAAACCCCAAAACCCCTTCTACTCAATCACTAACTTTTAAAGATCTCGTTTTGAAAATATGAAGGTCTGGTGATTCTACAAAATAGGTACATGACGAGGCCGGTACTGTAGGAATGTGAGAAATTAGATTGGAATGAGACAGTAAGGAAAAGAGATGCTGAAGAGGAAGGAAAAAGGATTTTAAGGAAAGAAGAAGTCTTGGAGGAAAGTGGAGATTTGAGAGTGGAAGGGTGGATGATAGGGGATTTAGGGTTTATTGGGTTTGAACTTGGAAACTTGCAGGTTTGGAGGTTTGAATTGCTTTTTTAGTTATAATAGGTTAGATTTCTAAAACTAATTTCTTATTTTTAATAATAGCATTTGTTTGGAAATAAATGATTTTGAAATAAGCTTTTTATAAAAGTATTTCTTTTCTTCATTGGATTTTCGATACTTTTTAAAACTTCCTAAAAATCATAAAAATCTTATTTGAACTTTATAAAAGTTCATCAACAATTAATCTATTCTCCAAATCGTGCCTAACAGCTGTAGAAAGACTCGAATATAAATACCTATTTTCCCTATTCTCTAAAAGTAGCCTCTTGGACTCACCAAAAGTTTCTCGTACTACCTTGAATTTTTGATTCTCCAAAATCCACTGCTACCATCTCACTAAGCTTGTGGCAAAATTTCGCCCTTAATGTCTCTCGCTCCAGAGTCTGCCCCAATTGCTAATACTCTTGTATAAGCCTCTAGAAAATTTAAAAGCTCTATTTTTATATTGCCAGCCCGATTGCATCTGAATACTAGTTTTTAGAATAATCTCCTGCTCTTAGTTTGAAGAAATGTTCATAAATGGTTTACAGAGAAGGGTCATAATTGTAATTTTAGATTCACTTTATAAAGTCTTTCTGGAAGTTGACATTTCAGCCCTTTAGATTAGTTAAATTTTCTGAAAGAGCTACGAGGTTATGGTATCATTCAAATCATAGGAATTTAAAATCAACAGGTTAGGTATGAAGAAAAAGTGTAGCGTGTTCATTATTATCAGCACGTTTTGGTGATGGAGAAAATATCAAGTTATAAATCTCGAGATGAATCATAAGAAAAAGGGGTGTCTATCTTTGCTATACAATACAAGACAAGTTCCTTAAAACAAAGAACGAAGATCATTATATAGAATTGGTTACACTTGTCTGAACATTTCATAAATCATACAAAAACTCTAGATTTTCCCAAATAAAAATACTCCAAAACAAAAGACTTTAGATACTTTCGGTGAAACAATAAAAAGTGTTCCTACTCATTATGAGAAGGCAGTAAGACATCTTCTGTATAGTAAATTCTTAGGGAAAAATATCTTAATAAATAATTGAGACGCGGCTCTTCTGTCAGTATATTTACTGATTTCTGAAACTGTAATCATTCAGAGCCACAGGCAAGTTGATTTGGAAGACTCCTTGCTGGTTTAGAAATTCATTAACCAGTTCTTCCTTAGTATTCTTTTGGGAGCTCTTAGGTTTGACAAAGATATAGCTCAGATTTCCTACAGTTTTTCATGAGCTCTTAGTTTCTGCTGAGGTCGGGCTGTCTTGGTAACTGAGGTTCTTCATATCCTTGATGGCTTGGAAGGGGTTCATTAATTTGCTCTTCTCAGTATTAACTTTGAGGTTATAGATGTTCATCTTGCTTCGTTTACTATATAAAACATTAGAAATTTTGAAAAATTGTAAATGAAATCTCGATTTCCTGAAAGCAATACTTATAATTCGATATATTCCCAATATAGTTTTAATAGCTTCAAGATAATTTTATAGCAAGGGAGTCTTTCTTACTCCAAAAGATAAACGTTACACTAAGCAAGGCCTAACTGGATTATCAAACAGATTTTATGTACCATATTTTAATGCTAGGAAGTTTCGAAATCTAAGAAGTTCGATTATGAAATAGAATGGAACCAGCGCAGATTTAGATAGAGGAAGGACAATTTTCAACTGAAGATGATAAATTTATGGCGAATGAAGAACTCAAGAAGAGGCTATCTATGAAAGTTACATAAATATTTGCATAGATAATACCATCCCAACTTACAGTAACAGTTTATTCTGAAAATCTCTTCTACCCTCCACTCCTCTTCCTGAAATCTGAGGCAGAACAAAACCTTCAGACTTTGAACTCCTAAACTTAGTCTCAGTCAGCTGAGTCACTTCTATTTCCTTCGTTGAATAAGGAAGCTTGAGGCTCTGAGTGGTGCACTGGGGGATCATTGAGGAAAGAAATAAGCGGCTGGGGGATTCTGAAGGGAAAATTAGGGGGTTGAAAGGTGGGGGATTGGGGTTGGGAATTTAGGCGGGGAAGTAGGGGAGGAAATGAGGTGGGTTACTTTTTAGAGTGGAGATCTGGGCTGAGGGATTGGTAGTGTTACTGGACATGATATGGAAATTAATAGACAATTTAATTATATCTGTTCGCTTGCCTCTAAATGGGGTTTTGGGGTTTTGGGGTTTTGGGGTTTTGGGG